CGCTTTTTTTTGCCCTATCACTTGACTCTCTCAACCATGATTTTCTGTTTTTGCCTACTTTATCTTCTGTTTCCAAACCGGTAGGTAGTCTATCTTATTCAGTTCCAAAAACATTTTCTGCTTTTCGGGATCCTTTTCTCCGCTATGTATTCTGCTCAATCAAGATTTTTGAAACAATAGTACAGTAGTAGTTATGTATCAATGCAAAAATATAGTGATATGAAAACTTTAAACGAGTTACAAGAAGTTGAATAAACTGTCTATAAATAAAAAAAAAAAAAAAAAAACTAATGTAAATAGTTATAAAACCAGCACACACGCAGATAACCGGAACCTTATTTTACATTAGAAAAACATCGACGTTTAAATATTCAGTATACTTTAATAATTTTCATTGAAATGGTGACCATACAAAGTAGGTAGCAGATATCATCACAACAGAAAATTATTAACATAAAATTATTTAAACCTCAACAACCTATCTACGGAATAAAAGTTTTTCAAAAATCTTTAATGAATGTAAAATTTCGTAAGAGAATCAGTTTTACTGGATTTCCTACTGAACTGAGCAGTCACTTTGCTCTTGATCAGGCCGGGATAGAGAAAGAAGCATGTTTGGGGGAGAGGTCTGGAGGGGTGTTTTCAATTTGGTCCTTGTTTGTGTGGGCCGCAATGGGCTGGAAAATGAGGCTTACACCCCGACGTCACCCGAGCCCAAGATGCATGGAGTAAAAGCATGCTTTTACTCCATGCATCTTGACCCGAGCCACCCCTAGTGTCCGTGTGGTCTGGTTACGCAAGAAATATTACTTATGAATTCAATCTTGGATGATATTAAGTATCACCTGGACAGTCTTACCTGAGGTGATCGTTGTGATGTTTGAGAAAGAACGATAGGTTTTATAAGATTAGAACGTTTGAGTTTATAAGACATTGTTTAACCCAACGGTCGAGATCTTATGCGATCGATGCATCATATCCTTTTCATTTTTACAGTTGGTGGTTTTTATTTATACAGTACTTTTTTCTACTGAAAAAGTTATAATTCCCGTTTGATGTATAAAGTTTTATCAAATACCATTTTTACTCATATCTTTTGTGATTTATTGTTTTTCTATGAAAACATGTAGCTACCAATATTTTACATAATACTTATCGTCGAATCGATTAAAACTTTTAGAAATTGTACAATAACACTAAGGTTTAACTTAAATGATATATACAGTTAATCATAAATTATTATGAAACTTCTCCCGGGCAAGTCAGTGTTCATGCACAGTCCCCTGAAATACTCACACATAAACAATGAATTTACTACTATTTATAGATTTAAAATAATCTAACAAACTCTCTTGTGTGACAACAGCAGTTCAAAAACCCTACCGAAACTTCATTAAAACACTTCGCCCTCTTCATTATATTGTCAACCCGTAGAAAGCAATATCGCGGCGGCGGCGACAAACAGCCGTGTTTGGTCAGGGCGTGCGTCTACACGCGTGTCGTGGTCACGTGGTACACCCCCACCCCCACCCCTGCAGTCAACAGCCCTCAGGACAAGGATAACACTCCACATGGAGAGGGTGGTGTCACTAACGAGTCTGACGGTGTCACTGAGCCTAGAATCAGGGTTTGTAAAACTTCAGATTGCCTTGGATCAGAAGTGGTCTAGAAGAATCAGAGCTTCTTTGTAACATTCACTTTGTAGAATTAAGGATATCCTATAATCGGAGATGCAATTCAGCGTGTTATAGGATAAAGATAGTCTGGAATCAGGGATGATCTTAAACATATCAAGAACCAAGGATTGTCCAGGATCAAAGCTCTAGAACGAAAGGACTGTTTAGGGCCAAAGGGCGTTCAGAATAAGGATTGTCTTGGATCAACGCTTGTCTAGAATTAAGGATTCTTGATTACCACAGCTTGTCAAATATTGTTAAAGATAACTATTTCATTAGGAATCAAGGGATGTCTAAAATTAGTGTTTGTCCGTAATTGAGGATTGTAAAGTTTCGTTATATAATATCACAGCTTGACTGGAATTTCAAGTAGTCTAGGATCAGAGGTTGTGTGGGATTGAGGATCGTCTAGGATCACAGGAATCAAGGCTATCGTCGGAGTTTATCAGGAATTTAAGGTGATGTCTGTTACACTTAATACCACACAGCTTTTTATGAAATCAGTCAGGGTGGACCTTCATTGGCACCCAGGATTGTCAATTACTGCTTGCCAAGATTCTATGCCGGAAATCACAAAATACAGAGTTATCTTGGATAGAAAATTGTTTGAAAATTTGGAATCATCTAGAATCTAGATTGCCTGGATATAAGGATTGTCATAAGGGATAATATAAAGGGTGTTCTAAGATCACAGCTTGACTGGAATTCAGGATCGTCTATCAGAAGTTAAGGATTGTATTGTATAGAGTTTGAACTCATCCGAAATTCTGGATTTGTAAATATTACAATGCTTATCTAGAATAAGGGCTCGTATGATATTAGAATAGACTATATCAATGGTTTGTCTAAAATAGAGGATTTTGGAGTTAAAGCAGGAAGTTGTTAATCATGGTTTGTCTATGCCTAGGATATTAGGGTTAGTCAGGATTCAAGAATAGGGTTTGCTCAGAGTTAGGGTATGTATATAATACAACATATAGAAACTTCCATTTTAGGATTATGATTGGGATACGAATTTGTTTAGATTCAGTGTTATCATCTATTTAAATGTTATTAAAAGAACTGTAAACAATTATTCAAACAGTTAAGACCTTTTATCTGACGACAATTAACTTTGATTTGTACTTTCGCTTTCCACAACCATAGCGTTAATTGTGGCAAATGAAGTGCTATTCAAGTGGTATGTTACATAATATCATGCGTAAGTTCTACTACGTCCTTCACGCAATCAATATGAATAACGAGGAAAATTCTCACAAACCTATTTGAAGCAACAATGCACTCAATCAAGCAATCTTTGGTCGCGAATTAATGCGTCGAAGATGGTCTTGTTGAAACGTTCATTGTTAACAATAAACTCAAGAAGTATATATAGCAGGAGGAACATGCTATGGAGTAATTCAAAATGAAGCGGACTATCTTACTGGTGAGTTGGTTTTTAATCTAGCCCTAGAGCAGAATTATTTGTATCATTGTACTAATATATTCATATAATATTTTGAGACTAGTCGTAAATACACATACCATAGAAACCAATCGTTCTCATTGCACTGAACACGACTTAATTATTTGGCAAATAATGTTTACTTCTCGTTGCTTGAGCTATTGTTTGAATTTGGTTGGCATTCATAAATCAAGTTCTATAATTTTACTTAATTCTAATTCAATTTTTTAGGTTTACAATTTTTTTGTGGTGATAAAAGATAACGAGTTCGATACTAGAGACGGCTATGGTTCGAGTCTTATTGGCCACAGAAAAGCTATCCTATCAACAATGTTACATGTAATAGTACTAAAATTTATTCTTTTCTTAACTTAAGTTGAAGGTGGCTGAACGAGCCTTGGTGGAGTGTGTGCTACTACGAAATTGTGTTTCCCTCTTTGTTCAAAATTATAATTGTATAATTATGTTGCTCTAAAAATGCGCATAAGTGGCATATAGATTCAACAGTTTATAATAATCTGTTTACAGTTATTGGACTCGACTTGATGCAAGGTTAAAAGAGGCCGCCAACCTCTTTAAAAAAAAAAAAAAGTTGAAACATTTACAACAGAAAAAGAAAAAAAAGTAAATTACTGTAGGAAACTGTTGGTGCTTTAAATCAAGCATGATCATTTTTACCCCTAAACTGGGTACAACTTGATCATGGGAATATAATGTCTGCCTTAATGTAAAACTTTTCAAGCTTCTATTACTACCAAAATATAAAAGAACCTTTTAGTTTAAATATCTTACATCTTAACACTTTTTCAGGTAGTGTTGGTCGTAGTGGTGGTCGCACACGCTTCACCTTTGGGCCTCGGCAACGGGTTGTCCATAGGAGCAGACGGTGTGAAGCTGAACACCAAGCTGAAGGGACCTCTAGGGGTGGAAGCCGATGTGAACACAGGGGTGGGTCCAGGCGGAGCAAATGTGGGAGTGGATGCTAAAGTCGGGGACACGAAGCTGGTGAATGCCAACATAGGCGCTAGCAAGAGTGGATTGAAAACGAATTTTAACCTAGGAAACGTATGATGAGAGGCTGCTGAAAAATGTGGAAGAATAAAAAGTGTCAGTAAAAGATTGAGTGTTTGTAAACCTAGTTCATGTTTGGAGTTGAGTGCTTTTAGAGTTAAACTTGTTTTATAAATAAGTGACAGTAAAACGTTATCGAAACTCGTCTCCATTCGCATGACGCATACACATTTTAAAGTTGTGTGGGTAACATTTCGTACAGACAAAGAGTGTGGTATTAATCTACTCATTATGGGAATTGTAAGCAATTAAAACATAATGTATTTCATAGTTTTTTTTTATTTTAATTTTATTCTCAAATCGTGTGGTATACAGTATTCAACTTTCAGTTTTGTCAGGAGAAAAATTGCAGTAGAATAGGTAATAAAAATGGAAATTCAATATATAAGAATGCATTTTGTAGTTGATAGCTGAACGATATCATCAACTAATGTTGGAAATCGTTAACACATTCATTCGTTGGATGAACATTTCTTTATATAAGGAACTTAACATTATCGGCCGTATTTTATTGCAATTATTGATCATGATTCTTGTTCTCATAAGTAAGTAAGCTATGCATCGTATTTTTACGCGCAGCTATTCCACATTATGGAATGTGTGTATGCGAGAAGCCCCGTTGTCAGCGGGACGGAGTATAACACCACCGAAGGGATTTATTATATCGGTTTCACATCCGTGTGACTAATAAAAATCATCACTGAATCATTCGTGTACTCCGCCTACCACTACACTTGATACGTTTAAAATTTTAAACACATGCCTGAGGTCCATAAACGAACAAATGCAAGGTCAAAATAGACCATCAATCACTTAAAAAACCTATTTAATCACAGAATGAATTGAAAAGGCTGCGATTTCAAACTTTAATCCTTCAAGTTCTTGATATGCACCGCCACTACTTTGGCGACCTCGTCGACGCGTCGGTCGAAGCTGGACTCTGCCGGAATCTGACGACCACGGGGCACTCCTAGAGCAGCCTCCAGAGACCGCTCGATGGCATTGACTGTGTCATCCTCTGGGAGTACGTCGACGGAGAGCATCGTAGCCTCCTGGTCCGGCTCAGGGGGAGGGGGTGGGGGGTCGTAAGCCTCTATGAAGAAGCCGAGAGTCACCGTCGCGGACAGAATGAAGAATAGCACCTGGAAAGAGATGTATTAGTTTGAATTAATTAATTATTATGTTTTTATCACGATTAGGAAATATTTCAAAATCTGGATTCTGCTCCTGTTTTTGTTGTCCACCACATGCTAAAAATTGGTGAATCTTTGTTTTTATATAGGGCGCGCGCGAACTATCTTTGTTAATGTACTGTATAACGTCAGACAATACTGGGATGAAAGAACTATAGGCCTAATATTGGTTTTATTCATGAAAATAATTCACTAGTAATATTAAACACTGAGTAGATTTTCAGTACGATGTACAGAAGTATTTATGGTATTTAATCGCAGATAGATTACTCTTAAATTTGAAAGTAAATACAAATTGAAGACAGAAATATTTGAAAATGATCATATGTATATGAGTCATCTGTTCGTAAATTAGCCTTCTGTTCATAAATGTGTTCCTATTCTATACAGTCCGCGTGAAAAGTAATACATAGCGAAGTGAATTTTTCCTGGTTATTTAAAGTGTTTGCCAAAACGTCTTTTGAAAAAAAAAAACATGTAATGTTATCCAATAGTAAAGGATAACGCGTACCTTGTAATAATTGAAGTTACTTGTTAAGTTAAGTATGTGCTATCAAATCATTCAAGGCTGTGTTTATATGTTTAGGTAATAACTGTTTATGTAATTAAATGTAGTTTCATCTACGTTGGAAATATAATCATAGCACCAATGACAAGTTCACTATTGTACCTTATAAAAAGTTAAAGATAATTTTAGATCTAAATCGGTATTGTATAACTGCAAATGAAGCACAAATATTTTTCTAAAACCAATTAAATAAAAAGACAAATTGATGATGAAAGAAATAATAATTTAATTGGACAATTGCACTCGGGAGTTTTATCTAAGGTTAATTCGCGTAATTAATTAGTGAGATGATATCTTTATTAATTACTACGACCAGCTGGTTTTGAAACCGGAATCCTCGTAGTGTAGCTCATTCTCAGCCCAACAATCAAAATACAGTTATCAAAATAATTGACCTCGGATGCTAAACCTAATTATTGAAGTACTAATCCAACAGTATTATGAAACATGAAGATTGTTTTGACCTTCAGTTTTTGACGACTATATTATTTTTCACACATTTTATAATATAATTCCAGGACTGATGCGCCTTTATAATAGCAGAAGAAATAATTTGCAGATACAGTTGTATATCTTTCCATGGGAAAACAATAATTATTTTAATATTGTCTTCGACTGGATTTGTAACAAATTCAAATCTACAATTGAACATATTCAATCAATATCATCATACGAAGTCTCATAATACGGTGAAGATAGATTCTTTGGTTCTTTGGTCGTGTAAAAAAAGAAAACACACTTCTAACCAATGTACTAAGTGTTCGTTTTCCATGAAATAAAATCTAAAATAAAAAAATATGATAATCCTCCACTAAATACGTCCATTGTGTTATCTAATTTAAGTCCAGCTTGGTTCTCACCATGAACATTAGACGTACCAAGGAAGGGCAATAATTATATTTGCAACCAACAAATCTTCACAACAATCAAATTAAAAATTTTACTACTTACAATAAGCAGTCGTCTCATCCTCCTGCACGCCGTCTTGAGACAATGCCTCATCCATGAGACAGCTGTTGTCACAATCTTGTCACATTTCACATTGTTGTCACTTCGCTCTACTGTCACACGTTGATGGGCAATTCTCATTTTACCCATGTAGCTCTGCGGTAACACAGCTGGCGAACACCTGATCAACTATCGACCAAGTTTGTGACTGCATCCGCGCTAATGGGTTGTTGTAGATTTTGTAATTTACATCGTAGATTCTGTACACGACGTTATTTCAAACTGATACATACATTTACCGTCATCATAATCTGGCGATTTAGGTTAAGAATTATGCATATGACGAAAAATAAAGTGTATTACAGGACCAAAATGTCTTATCTCTCGCTCATTTCACACAGCTTTGACAAGGTCGGTAAACTTGTGTTATTAGTAAAGAGTCACATTAGGCTAGAGATAAAATGTAATGTTAAAAGTCCTCTTACTAATGGAAAGATGTCCATTGTGATAATTGTCCATGCTATCTGACACTGACCGTAAACACCATGTGTGTCTTGTACAATTTCAAAGCTGAGCACGGAAATTACTTGGCTCGAAAACTGACGATACACTGGATTCAAAAGTCACTAAGATTTTAGTTTGTTACAGAACTACATATTACCCATGCATGTTAGTAAAATAAGAAAAACGTTTAAGGGAAATTTAGAGAGTACCATAAATGGTTTGAAAATTTTCACAACAACAAAATAGCTCACCTCTGCTAGATCAATGTACAAAATAACTAAAAATACACGTTTTTATTCAAGAACATTCCTTATTGATTCTTTAAGTCTCAGAATGTTTTTTGATAAGCTGATTTTAAAATATGTGCTTGATACACCTTTGAGGGCATCGTCCTTCGTTGCTAGATTATGAACCAACCAATTTAGTATTGATTAACACTACTTAAGGTTTAGTTAGTTTAAGTCGTTGTCAAATGTGTTATGACTAACTGACCCTTTGTTGTGTTTCAGCGAGTTGAGTGCGATGTCTTCCTTTTGACGACGTGAAGTGTTCGCTGAGGTAAGAACAGAATTCGTAAAGTAAAAATTAGATTTTTGTGGCGCTCACATGATGGTAAATAAAATATTTGTAGCTGCAAGTTTTTCTTATATACTCCGAACCTAACTGATTCCAATTTTAATCCCCAATCATTCGAAATAAACGAAAGTTTAATTTATTGTAGGCATATTCGTATTGATACTGTAGTTGACAAGTTCAAAGAAAACCTCTCTCAGGAAATAAGACTTCCCCTATAATCCCCACACATAAACAATAAAAATGCTTAAATTGGTTAAACTTATCAGTTGCGAATCTGATTTTACAATATTATACATTTTAACCCTTTTCCTACATACTCCACATCGGTGGTCCGCACCATGACAAACCCTCAGTTACTATCTAAGAGCGGTTTAAACCGATTATTGTGCAATCATTTGCGCCAATCGCCCCCTCCCTCCCCCAGCTTCATCAACCCTCTACAGACATATGGGCTAGACACCCCGCAGTCTACGATGGTTTAGCAACGATCTTGTGGCAATCGTGTTGTTGACTAAAAATTACTCTGAAATTGTGTGATAAATTTAAAAAGGAAATGTAATTTTTACAGGAGTTATCTAACGACAGACTTATTCACTTATCAGAACCAATGACGGTTTGGTTCTGAGAAAAGAAAGAAGTTTTTAATTGCACAACTTGATTTTTCGACATGATATTATATTCTCTGTACGTTCGTAACGAAATACGTGAATCAGCTCATCCCAATTTGTTAGTAAAAGTTTATCTACAGTAAAGTGATCAATTTAAGCATTCTAATGTTAAATCTGGCAAGGACTTGAGTTAAGTTTTAGCCAACAACAGACTGCACTGCCGTTAAATTATTGTTTAAATTCTCACATTGTCTTCTTAATTATGACAAACTTAGAGGACACTGATTGTAGACTGATAGTCAGAATGTGAAAAAATAAAGATACATTCAATTTAATTCGTTATGCTCAATAAACATCGTCCAATAATGCAATTAAATAGCCATATCCTTAAAAAAATTATAATGAATGATAATAATAACATAATACCCCCGCCATAGCAAACCTGCAGACTAAGCGAATTTCAACTTGTCTGATTAAATTTTTTCTAAAATATTTCCATAAGAAATATTTATTCCCAATTTAAATAACATTAGATTTACGAGTGCTTAGGCTTGCTGCTACGGGGAAGATAAAAAGTGTGTTTGACCATACGTCAATAGTATAGGATTATATATAAATAATTTGCCAAATTTTATCAATATTATATCCATAAACAAGTAAACTACAACAGTTTTCATTTTCTCCATGGGAATTCTAAACTACACTATTTTTGAATTTTCTTCGTAACCGTTAGGCATACAACAGCACTTCAATATACTAAATTATTTATTTCTTTGAGCTCTGCAAAACGGTTCAAAAAGAAATTCCAATATTTTTCGTTTTTACGGTCAAACGTGGGAAACCCCCTTTTTTACTCCATAAAACCCCTCATAAGCCCCCTTTCGCATGGTCCGATTATGCTAGTTCGCGTACTCGTTCGAATAAACGTAGGTTTACATGTTTGCAAAAAATTTCATCCAAATCGGATCATCTTTGCTCGAGTTATCGTGCTAACGGACATATATATATGAATTTGAACGGATGGTGTTTTAGCTTCTATCACGATTGCTTCTAGGAAACTCAAAACGAAGAAAAATCGGTCCCGGGTCCAGGTCTTACCATGAGTACTACGGTAATAGCTTATTCCCTATATGGGAAATTCGCTAAAAAGGAACTTAACAGGACAAAAAGGTTAATGTGGAGTGGTTTTGCTTCAACCATAAAATCTCTCTTATCTAAGTATCTCACCCCATCCCAAAGATCATGGTTATAAGCGGTTAACAAGATTAACGACTCCAGAAGAAGCAGGCGATCATCAGTTGGTCTCTTGACCTACCAACTTTCTCTGTTGGCCCTAGACTTTTCTGTGACCCCGCACTCCATTACACGCATCACTTCTTGGGTAACCGAGTTAACTGAGGGAGGCTGCAATGGCTGGAGCAGATAAGCTTGCGATTGCAAACTCGATAACGTTTGAAATTCATTTTTCCAACATACTTCGTGCATTGTGAATTTTAATAGTTTTCGTTTAGTTTTACATATTTTAAAGATGTATTTTTAGTATCTTATGCCAGGTATTGAGCGCGAGTTTCGTAATCCACTATATAACAGACTTCATATTTCACAACAGGATGAAAAGTCAATTTATAGTATCCAAATTCAACGTCACTTCTTCCAAAACAACATTGTTCCTCTAAAACTATGAAGGTGGCAAGTGATGTTAAGTGTCATCGTCTTCAAATCACCAAACGATTTTCAAATCACCCACACAATAGGTCTGCTAGATGATGTTGTCGTAGTCTCTTGACACCCCCCCCCCCACATCTGTTTACCCCCCCCCCCCCCTGTACCACACAGATGGGAGACGTTAATCGCCCATGTCATTGACTCGCCACTTTCATCCAGCAACACGCCCTACTCTGCACAAAGAACTATTTTATACCATCCTTCAAATGCAAACTAATCATTTACCACCCTTTGTACTCGCGAGGGTCTATCACCGGACAATTTTGGTTTAGGGGATGAACAGGGGTTGTCTTTGATCCCATATTAGCCGATGACGAATGCGAATTTTTTAAGTTTGTTTAAATTGAGATTTCAACCCTTTCAAGTTCAACGTCATGTGGGCTGCAGGCTTGGGGAAGTAGAATGGAATTATCATGGCTAGAAATGTGTCATACGTTTGCCAAGTATTATTTAAAACTAGTGTACCTGTTTGCTCGAATTCTAGCAAATTTTTGCAAAGTATTACAGGGGTTATTTTTTTTTTACAAATTACAGTTATAATTTTTGATTACTTAAAAGAGCTAACTCAAAGATAATGTAATCGATCATACCACTCCAGTTATCAAAACTCAGTCTGAAAACGAATGCTCTTGTGTGTATCATGTGTTTACTATGAACAGCTGTTTTAGTATGCAATCAATACAAATTATTCGTCTGTTTAAGTAAACTAAATCTTTTCTTCATAAGAAATACATTGGGATTTTGATGGCCTGTGGGGCAAAGCCCGAGGACTTTTATTACGGAAATTGGTAAAAGGAGGCGTACACACAAAAAAATACTTAATTTTGACACATCGTTTGTAAAAATCCGTCCGTTTCGTAGAAATCGCCTTCACGTATTATATACTGTATATAAGGATGTGTATCTTTGATGTGGATACATGGTTTATTTGTATCTACACAATTGGAATTTGTTACCTTTTTTAGGTAACGGTTCACACCCTGCTCTTGTTCTATCTCAAGCTCCCTACGCACGTAAAATTCGACGTGTGTATGGACTGTTTTGGATTTATGATATAATTAATCATTGTTTTCGCTTGTTTGTGACTAGCCTTTGTTTATAATAAGCAAACAAAACGGGCCATTTAACGTCCAAAAAGATACCATTTCAAATTTGTTTTGTTAAAAGACGCATGATCACGAACGTTTGACATCTTGTTTTAAACAAACACCACTTAGAATTGCCTACAAACCCACGGTCCAAGTTGTAAGTTGTACACCTCGAAGCGAAATCTGCAACAAACCATGTAAAACACGAGCGAACCGCGTACGAACGCCACGGGCTGGCGAAAAATGCGTGTAATAAGGTAAATACGTAAAAGACATAGTAAATATGCATGTGTAGTTGTTTCTAACACAACTCTTCGCGCACTAGGAGCATGTCAAGTATTGTGCGGTGCCTTATAAAAAGTAAACAAAGTACAATGTCAGAAAATAATGTTTATAGTAGCTCGTTTATTTATTTAATTAACAAGGACAAGGAAATGTGTAAGTGAAACCCTTAATATTTAAGCCCTACTATATAGCCTAGACCTATGTAAATATGACAAGTAGACCCTAACTCTTATATAACGGTGAACTTAAGGGTAACTCACTGTAAACCTTATAATCTTTTGTGTGCTTATAAATTAATTATGCTGAATATGAAAACGTAAATAGAATGTAGGTTACACCCCATGAGATGCAAATCATAAAATCAATCATAAAACTAAGCAGTACACAG